TACGAGTACGTGGCCTTGTGGATCTGGCATCAAGTCCTGGAGGTTTCTTGAGGGAACAGATGAGAGGCTTCCATGACTTGCCGAGACAAAGCCTCACCTCTCTGTTCGTACCGTCGGAATGGAGTTGAATCTCAATGGCTTCCCCAAACATGCGATCTATATATCTTGTCTTGGTGGCGAGGATGGAGGTATTCTGAAGCTGATTGCGGTGTCCCAAATCGATGTTATGTTCAGCCACAGCTGACCTGTCCGGATGTTCGAGACGGATGTGCCGCTGATGCTCCTTCAACCTCGTGTCCACGGAACGACTTGTCTGCCCTTGCCGCACTCGCATGAGATACTGTATACACCCGGTGTCCTTAGTCCCAGACTCTCTTTGACCGGCTGGAGGAAAGTGGATAATTTCTTTGGAAGCAGACCCACTGATTTGATGTTGTGCCGGGACAGCACTCTGCTGATTCGGTCGATAATAGTCCCGACATAAGGCAGGATGTAAACTGAGTCCGGTTTATCATCGGGCCGACTGATGTTCGGCTGACGGTTGAGAACTCTGTGGAACTGCCGGTTGTTATATCCGTTCTGCCTGAAAACGTCACCCAGGAGCACCAACTTCGCATGTAGGCTGTCTTGAGCGCATAGAGCTCTAGCCCTGTGCACCAATGCGGAAAGTACAGCTTGCTTGTTGGAAGGGTGGTGGTGGGACGCAGCGTTAAGGTAGAGGTTTGTATGGGTAGATTTGTGGTACACTCTATGGCCCAGAAAACCGTCGGGTCTCCTGTAAATATCTATATCCAGGAAGGGGAGGTGGCCCTCAATTTCGGTCTCCATAGTGAATTGAATGCACTTGTGGATATTATTTAGGTGGTTCAGGAAGTCCTTGAGCTTGTCGGGCCCGTGTGGCCAGATGACGAAGATATCGTCCATGTAGCGAAACCAGCAGCGGGGCTTGTGTGGAGCCGAGTCAGGTATCCTCTCCTCAAAATCCTCCATATATAGGTTAGAGATGGCCGGAGACAGTGGCGAGCCCATCACCACGCCATCGGTTTGTTCATAGAACTGACCATTGAAGATGAAGTATGAGGTGGCCAGGACATGGCGGAAGAGTCTCAAGATATCTTCTTCGAAATGTCGTCCTAGCAGATCCATAGTATCCTTTATAGGCACCCTTGTGAAGAGCGACACTATATCGAAACTGACCATTATGTCATGAGGATCGGCTTAGAGAGAACCCAAGGTGTGGACAAATTCCACTGAGTTACTTACGTGGTGCGGACTGTTGCCAGTGTTGTTGCTCAGTAGGCCAGCCAAGTGTTTGGCCAAGCGATAGGTAGGAGAGCCAATAGTGCTCACAGTGGGCCTTAATGGAATATAGGGCGTGTGGATCTTCGGTAACCCATAGAGTCTAGGTGACCTGGAACCTTGAGGTCGTAGCTGTTGGCAGACCTCCTCAGCAATCGGGGACTTTTTCAGGAGAAGAACAGTCTTGCGCTCTATGGAATCAGTAGGATCCTTCTTCAACGTCTTGTAGGCCTTGTCCTCCAAGAGAGCGGCGATCTTCCGGTTGCAGTCCGACGTATCCAGTACCACGGCCGCATTACCCTTTCCAGCCGGAAGGACGGTGAGCGCCTCATTAGCTTTTATGGACCGAAGGGCTCTCCTCTCGGCATCAGTCAGGCTGTCCTTAGGTTTGCGGGAGTTTTTGAGAATCCTGAACGTCTCCTGTCGGATTTCCTCTGCAGTCTCTCCAGGCAGGGCCACTATTGCCTTCTCCACCCCGCACAGGATATCCTTGAATGGGACAGACACCGGAGCCACAGTAAACTTGAGGCCCTTGCTCAGGGCCGTCAATGTGCTTCTTCCAGTGGCACTTCACTCAGATTGACCACAGTCTTCTTGCTGTCAGGGGGGCTGGGCGGGTGCTGGGCCTCATGAAATGTTGAGACTTCCTGGAGTGCCTGGCTCTAACGTCATCAGCGATGCGTAAAACCTTCTCACTCGTATTGCGGTCGATCAGATTCCAGCCATCGGCGGACAAGTCCTGGGTCAAGCGCAGATGTAATTTAAGCAGTTCTCTGGAAACAACGTCCAGCTCCCGCCTGGTGTGGTGGATGCGTTCACGGAGTATTGTATATGTCATCCTATCACTAACGAACTCTACCCTCTCTACTGCTTATACGATTCTCTTGTGTACAAAGAAACCTGTACCTAATTCACGATTCTCATTCCCCCTTCCACAGAAAAATGTATATTCGCCCGCTGGTTCAGTGCCACCTCCGTCCCACCTGGCCTCCTGTACTCCCACCAAATCTAACTTATATTTTGAGATTTCTCCCGCCACTACCCTGAGCGAACCTGCTCTTTAAGTACTTCTAACAAGTACCAGTACCAAATCTCATAATCATTTTCTTTCGCTTAGGTCATTTATCCAGGGAATTCATCCAGGTCCCAGGCTTCTTCAGAATTTTCGTAACAAGTTTATTTTTAAGGGGAGGTGTTGTTAGCCGCACGCCCACCCCCCAAGATGGAGGACACCCCTTGTCGCCTGTCCGTGACTGCTTATTCAATATATTCGCAGCTATCTTCCATACCTGGAGGCCGTCTCCTGCATCCGCAACCTGAGGACGCGCCATGCCGTGATGACAAGGGACCCACGTAACAATAGTCCTTCTACATACCTTACGTACTTACTTACTCATGGAGCTGAGCCCTTCTGGAGGAGCCGCCAATTCTGCAGCTACTCAAGAATTTCCCAGCATTTTATGGAACCCGAAGGTTCATCACCGCGTTCACAAGAGCCTTCCGCTGGTCCCTATCCTGAGCCAGATCTCTCCAATCCATACCATCCCATCCTATCTCTCTAAGATCCATTCTAATATTGTCCACCCACCTACGCCTTGGTACATACCTCATTTATATTACCAAATGTATGGCAATCCTAGATGTTTTCTCCTACAACGTATTTGCCCATTTTTCCACCTTTAAATTATTTATCTTCAGTTTCTAATAGTTCTAATTGTTCCACAAGCAAGTAATCTGTATCCAAACTTACCTCTATCATGCATAACAAATATGAATGCTATCAAGAAATTTTCGAAAAAGCACTTAAGACAAACGAATGAACATTTATGATCGAGCCTGTGTATTTTTCATTATTTTCTGCCTTACTGGTTTAAAGGTAGATGATGCACTATCATACCACCATGCCATGTACTCCATGTTGATCCTGCACGCGTTTCCTTTTGTAACCGCACAATGCAAAGGACTACAACGTTTTGTTCACGTGTGTCGGTATTTGTCGCTACATCAAAGTAGAGGCAATACCTCACACCCACTCCAACCAACGGGACCTGAACCCTCTCGCAGTTCCGGGATGGTAAAGTTTATGACGGGTCGCAATCCCCGGACTAAACCCAAACCAGCCCGACACTCTCCTTACTTTTAGAAAGCGCCATATGTACTAATAAGA